GGGTGCACCCCACCAAGATTTCTGCTCCTTGGAATTACAGAGCCCATTATAGAGTCACGGCAATGAGTCCGTCGCCGCGAAATGCTTCTTTTCCTTTACTGTAGTTCGTGCAGCCTTTCTCTGCCTAATGGAATGTAACTCTTGGGGACGTGCGATGGAGGTTGCCCCGTGTCACTTTGATCCATGCCAGCCCAAGGTCGTTTGGGAGCAACGTGTGGAGAGAGTGACGTAAGCGAGGGCAGGCTCTGCAGATTCCCTATAGTAACCAGCAGTTTGGTGTCTTTTCAGAAATCACGCAGGGTTCCTACCTGAGGCAGTACAGTGTGGCGCTCTACGACACGGCGTTGTTACGTGAGCACCGCGCCAGGACGCGACGCGACGTCACCGACTCTTCGGACTCTTCGGACTCTTCGGACGGTCCCAAGTCCAGGACTCGCAAGGGCCCCACGCTCGATCTGAACGTTCACGCGTTCGACAGGTTCGTTCAGCAGCGAATCAACAAATGGGGGGACTCGCTTCCGGAATTTGGGGCTCTTCGCCGCCTTTTCCCAATTCTCTTGGTCTCACGCTACGTCAACTAGTTCAATTCGCACAGGATTCATCTTGGTCGACGCTGACGCTTTTTTGTCTCTCCTCCCGCACTTGATGCTTCGTGACTTCAATATTCACGCCGCTGCGATTGATGTCCGCATGAAAGTACATAAGGCAGTTCACAATAAAATATTGCGGATCGGCGGCACAGCGCTTGAATCGTCTAAAGCTTTCAAGTTGAATGAAAATAGGCCAAGAGAGAAGGAATTGGGAGAGTATTTAAGATTTTGTAAATTTTTGGCACATGTCTGTAGTGGCTCAGCAGCAGCCTGAACGAGGAGCACTTTGCTCGATAACTTTCGACGGTATTCGTTGATTCGTTGTCAAAGCACCTTCCGCACGAGAGAATAACTCATTCCGATTCGTGAATCTTTTGGCATGCGAGAATCAATGAGCGTGAGACGATGTCGTCTGAAACTTTCCATTGGATCGTGTGTATTCCATCTTAATAATTGTCCCGAATTACCCACCTGGATCGCTTCTACTCCTGATTGGGTCGATGGGACAAACGCTCGAGCATCGAGGAAGTAACGATAAACCAATGCAACGAACTAGAGCTAGAGAACATGACTTTGGGCCTTTGCACTCCACAGACTCTTCAAGATGAGACTGGCGCAGGACAACAGCTTATTTCCGGACGACGCGATTTTCGAAGGGACGGGAGGTCGAGTTCTTGAATTCGACACTTCCCACGTCTATACTGGCACTCTTCACGGTAAATATCATTTTGCATTTCTCTTACATTTTTCACAAAGTTTCTCCGAATCCCATTTAAGTTTTTTGGATGCGTTAGAGCAACCGATGCAAATGGCCTGGAGACCGATTTCTTTTGCGTATGAGCTGCACAGCGAAAAGAGAGCGACATAGGGTCCTGATCCACAAACACGCGTAATCTGAGGTTAAACGTACAATTGTGCGAACCCAATGGACGAGAGTGAAAATAAAGTTCTCGTGTATTTCGTAGCGAACTTGAATCTGCTGGAGCTAGACTCTATACGTAGAGAGGATCTTTGGGGCGACCCTGGGCAGTTCGCCTGAAAACGTCAAAGGTTTCGATCGAATGGAAACTCGATTCTCGGAGCTCCCTGACATCGAGCGAATTAGCAGAGCATCGATGGCTGCTCGAATCGAGATGACGTGGAAAAAAGGTAAATAGGATAACATGGAGAAAGACATCGTGTGCCCCATCTTGGAGGAATCTTCGAACGTCGTTGGAGCGTTCTAGCTTACTTTATTTGACGACCACTCGAGATTCCTCTATTTGTCACGACGAGACCTTTGAATCTGCTACACACAGTTGTCAATGAATCTGGCAATGAGTTGGCAGAGAACCAGTGGATCTTCAGCGGCCACCAAATTAACCTCCCGCTCTGCAGTCCGCTGGAGACCCTCTGCAATCCAAGCTTCACTGAATTTACTATCCTTCCTCCGCTCCTCCCAGCATCCACTCGGCCCCCGGTCCTTTCATTCCCTCCAGGCTATAACAGCTGCTACCAAGTAATTGCAAGCTAATTACTTCTTAATATTTCACGCTTTGCCAAACCACTTCCTCCTCCTTCCTGCTCCTTCCTGCTCCTTCCTGCTCCTTCCTGTTTCTTCCTATTCCTTCCTACCTTTCTACCTTTCTACCTTTCTACCTTTCTACCTTCTGTCGTTCATTCATTAGTTCCTTTCGTCCAGTGCTTCCAGTTGATGTACCCAGAAAGCAATTCCTTGGCAGCTCAATACGCAGCCAAGTTCTCCATAGCGACAATTGTGCAAAATTGAGAGTAGCAGAACTCGGCTGGTTAGTGAAAAACCACAGAGATTCTTTTAAGAGCCGATTGTATGGAAAGATAAAGAAAGCAAAGCTAGGGGGTGGAGGGGGAGGAGGAGGAGGAGGAGGAGGAGGGGATCTCGGTGGAACGCCCGGCCACCGAGAATCGCCGGGTTTAATGGGGCACGAAGTTATAAAAATGATATCACAAGGGCGCAGCACACGAGACGCGGCCGACGGTCGGTGCGGAAGGTTGTCTCGGCCTCCGAGCCGATCCTGCGATCTCGTCCTTTACGACCTGCAGAGCCACTCGCGCTGCTTCCCCGTTAACAGTCTTGTAACGTGCGACGTTGCCATTGAAGGCTCGTGCGGTGCGACTCCGTCGGTTCTTACTCGGCACTTTCAATCCTAGGAGGAATGTTTTCCCATGGTAAGGATATCGCTACGGGTAGGAACCGCAACAGCATCAACAACATTGCCAAGAGTAACGGCAACATGTGGAGGAAGGAAATGAAAAGAATGATAATATCTATAAAAGTGGCTGCGACTACGAGCGCGTCCCCACGCTCGAGGTGAGGAGATATTCTCACTGCATACGTAACTGCAGAGCTTTCCAATAAATCTTCGGCCTTGCTTGGCTAAGGCAAAAAGTCACCTGAAACAAAGATAATATTTCAGGCTTTTTTTTTCACGTGTACGGTACTGGTGGTTCGTGCTGCTTCATGCTAGTTCCATCTGCTAGTTACATCTGCTAGTAGCTCCTCCGTAACTTATCTTCAAGTAAAACAAATTAAATGTGTCGCGTTAAGAGTATCTAGTTGTAAAGAATAATAAATTTTCATGAAAAACAACTAGCAGCAAAAAAGGGGAGCGCGATGCGTACACGGTCTGGTCTGCGCCACGTGTGGATTGCGTCTACGTTCACGTTTTGCATATTCATTGCATCATATTTGCTTATGAATTCTCTTTTTTCATTATTTTGCAGAATCCTGTAATTTTCTCATGAATCGTTATTTTATCAAATTGCACATGGACTTAAGAATGGCCATAACCTCACAACACTACCGTCATTACCATCTTTATCGGCTTGAAATTTTCAGGATATAGATATACATATACATCCTGGGGAGAAAGGTGAGAATTTAGCAGGTTGCAATCGAGAGGAGGGTGGGCTGGGAGTGGGAGGGGTGGGGGGTGATGGACTCGAATTGGCCAGGAGCGACGACAGAGTTCACAGTTGCGTTAGCTCTAGCGAAGGGCGAGTACCTCGTTAGAAATTTTAATCTTTGGAAAAGGTGGTGAGTCTGCGAGGCGTCTGCGTTTAAACTTCGCTGACGGCAAATGGGCCAAAAATCCCGACTGATAACGGAAGCAGGGGACGCGCGACTCGACGAGGAGGGGCGCGCAGGGAGAGAAAAGGACGAAGGTTATGCCGTTCCAGTTTGTTTACGTAACAAACTAATTTATTTCTCCCTCTCTCCGGGCGCCCTCGCCACGAACTTCCGTCTCTCTCTCTCCCTCTCTCTCCCCCCCCCCTCACTCACAGCACCACTCTGCTCATTTTTCCTTCCCACGGGAGCAAAGTAAATATCCGGCTCTTCTTCGCAGAACCATATTTCAGAAAAGCTCCTTCGCGGCCCTCGTGCCTCGTTGGGCCCAGCTCCCCTCCTAGTTGACTGAGTACTATGAATATCATTACTTTTTTAGTTTCCGGTTACAGATTACTTGATCCTGAACGGTGACCTGGTCCTTTTCATTGTGGGCTTACGCTCTTGGCATAGATGGGCTATAAAATTGCCCGTCGCCCAAGTACGTTGAAGGTCCTCTTTATATTGACGTTCATAACGTTTAAGGAGGCAACTAGTTCTGGACATCTGACGAGTGATATCTCTACTTCCGCTCTCTGTCTTCAATTCTTTCTTCACTGCCCTACTACGGCTGATAAGAGGGCTGGTTAATTTACGAAAAGATACAGCATGTTTTAATAACAGGGCTGCAGCCCGGATGCTGTGCTCTCTTGTTGGTGAAAGGGCGCCGAGTGGCTTCAGCGGGGCCAACCTTCAGCAAGAACAATCGCCTTCCGATGTTGCAGAACTGTCGAATGATGGCGGCACTGGCGACGTTCACGCGTGATTGACGTTGGTAGCCCTGCTCACTTAGCCGTCCCCGTCAGTCTGAGCCTCCCTGTCAGATCCTCTTCTCCTCAAACGCTTTGTCGATGCGACGTCACTTGATCCCGATCCATGGAATCCCCAACGTTTCATTTCGGGCATACTGCACAGATATTTTATCCTAGAAATTGCGTTTTTTCATAATTTCTCTTATGGCTCGTTGTCGATGTTTCACGATTGGCTTGAGATATCTTAAAAAGATCGAAACAAAGTCTTGCTTGGTGTACATGGCAAATGACTACGTCAGATATACATAGAGATAAAATAAAATGGATCTTCTCGAATTCAGCTTTGAACTTTCCATTTTAACAGGTCTCGACATTCTGATGAAAAATTTTAAACTTTGTCATTAAAAGTTTCAATCGGGACACTGCGAAGTCAGATGTAGGACGACGTCTCTTAAAGTAAAAGTTGCATTGCCAGAAAGAGGGATAAAATAATGAAAGTCCTTCCAA